CATTCTTAGAAGAGAGGAACAGTAAACTTGTTTTCTTTCTTTATAATATAGACTTCTATGAAGTCGTTCCCCTTTATTTCATGATGGTGTCTTAGATGTACTTTAAAAGAGAATTTCACACTATTCTCTTTGTTGAATGTGACAGTGTGAGAAAGTGATCTTTATTCGTTCAAAAAACTCTGCATGTAGTCTATGTTTAGGTTCTTTTAATGTGTTTGTCTGTGATTTTTAAATGCTAAACATGTAAACAGATAAATTGTCAATGTTAATTCTGTATCCTGTCACACAACTGATCTTTCTTTCCTGCCATTTCTTTCCTTTTTATCTTATTTTTGTGCATTCATGTTGCAGTTGATAAAATTACGTGAAGAGGTGAGTACTTCTTAGCTTGCCTTTTTTTTTTTTAATTCTGCTTTTCCTTATAAAATTGAGTTTCTAAATCTGGAGTAAGATCTTTGGGCTCATTTTTCCAGCAAAATCTGCACATAGCAAAAGTATTGATTATATTGCTAGACATATTCTCTGCTGATTATCTTTCAAAAACAAATCTATCCAAATTATGCTTGTCTCAGTGATCATTGTGGTTTGTTAGCATCGGGGGGAATTCATATTTTAAAAGCCAAAAATGGAGGAAAAACAAAGGAATATCTTAAAGCTATGCTCAAGTATAGTTTTAATATAGACCAACTTCAGATTTGTCTTATTTGTATTGGTTTCATAAAGAAGTCAATATGATTCATTTTTTTTCTGATTTACTGTACTGAAAGCTATTTTTAAATAAACTTCTTCGCTTCACCCAAAATTCAACCTAAGATACCATGAATCTATTATCCTTTTGGGGAAACACACATATGTTATCTGTGTACACAGATACCTAAGAATAGCCAAAGCTCTCGTCATTGTGAAACACATTCCTTTCTGCAGGAAATAGCACCCAAGTGAGTTCTCACTTTCCTGAGTTTGCTGGCCTGTTTCATAGTGCAGCCTAAGACTTTTGTGTGGCCCAGCACATATTTACAGCAATGCTTACAATTTTCTCCCCATATCAATGAGGAATGCTGAATGATTCTGTATTTCTTTTTAATTAGAAAACTCATCAACTATGCTTTGATACTCATTTCAGAGACAGAGCAGTTTTATTCTTTACTGAGTGAGGTTGAGTTGTTACTTTTTTATTAGAGCATAAAATAATGGCCCATATTGCAATTTAAAAATTGTTCAGTTGCTTATGATCCTAAGAGTACTGTGAATTATTTCTGAGTTTAGATTGCATTGACTCAGATTTTCCTAGAAGTTTTTTATTGCTATGCCATCATTCTCGAGGTGATGCGAGTGTTAGTGTAGAGGCTTGTAGATAGTGGTTTTCAACAATTCTTATGATTGAAGATACATGAGTGATGTCTTCTCTTAGTAAAAGTAATAATGATATATAAAATGAAGGGTGAAAATACACAAAACCCACACCCTCTAACCTTTTTGCATTTTTTTTATCTTTCCTACATTGAAGATGTGTATGTACTGAACAAATATAATCAATTGCAGTTCTGACATATAGATTATTCCTTAAGGGAATGATGCATCCATGTTATTTCTTTTGCAAGACAGAATATCTACTTGTGTATATTTGCATATGTTCATACTTAGGTGAAGAATCTGAATTCTCAAATGTTATTGGAACTAACAATTGACTTGAAAACCTCTGTATAAGGAAATTCATTACATGAAGCTCTGGCTCCTAAATTTAGCAATGAATATAATTAATAAAAGTGTGTGCCTTATCACAATCGGCATTTTTGACAGAAGGCTCTTTTTGCTGTTGTTGGTAAGCTGAATTGTGTGGACAGCAATCTTAATTCTAAAAGATGCCAACATCACCTCTGCATTTCTTTTAACATTTTGTGGTGCCTATCACAACAGTTTTATCAGTTATGCACGTTGCCAAAACTGTAACCTGCAATGCAGTTGTACTTGGAAGAATGATATCACTCAACTAATGGAATAATTTACTCTAAAAATGGTCTTTTAACAATCTTTGAAATGGATGCAGCATTGATATTTATAGAACAGATCACAGTGATGTCAGTGCATTGGTGCATGGTTTCCTCAGAAGGAATTGTTTCTCAGCTAGGATTCTAATAGGAATCAAACTGAATGTACCCTACTTTTCTTTCTGGTACCAATCCTAAGAAAACAGGCACTCGTCTCCTCTGAAATAGGATGTTTTGTTGTGTTTGGAAGCAAAGTATGCCCCATCCCTTCCCCGTGATGATGCTCTTTCCCAAAGCAGGGCACGCTCGGAGGCAGGCTGGGTGTGCACGGGAGCTGAGCTGGCTTTGGCTGTGCCTGGCGCTCCGTTTCAATCCTGCATCCCCAGCTCTCACATTGCACAGCTCCTCACACAAGTCGGGCTCTGTCTGAAGCTGCTGCACAGCATTACTTACCTGCTTTGAAAGGGCTGAGGAGAGGGTGAGAGAATGAGTTTGGGATGGAATGTGGGGGCAAGTTGAAAGCCTCAGCTGCTACTGTAGTGTTCGTCCTTTTATTTTCAGAGACCGGGGCAAAGCACAACTAAGGGAACAATGTAAATAGCACAGCTGTTACAAGAACTTGTTTTTAGCCTGACTTAAGTGAAGAGGTTCCAAAATACAAAGTGAGGTCCTGGGGAAAAGCTGCTGGGAACTGGATAGTCCTCCTGTGTGCACATTTACTCCGATAGAACCGCACTGGCCCGAAGAGGAGTTATTTCTGTTATTTAGGAATATTCTTTTTTAAAAAACAGAAGTTCTTTTAGAAATTTACTTCCCATCATAGCCATACTCAGAATAATCTGATTTGGTTCCTTTTCATGGAGTCCCAAAAATCAATTTCCAGTATTGATCTTGGACTTTTTAAAAATCTACAGTAGCTAAATGTTTTCTTTCAATTTAGGGATTTCATCCAATCTGTAAATGAACTAAAAATCTTTGTTTTGTTACTCTGCCTTTTTTTTTTAAAATTCTGCTTTTCCTTATAAAATTGAGTTTCTAAATCTGGAGTAAATCAGATTACTCTTGATTTCACAAATCTGATCCCTTTTTAGAGAATCACCAGTTTGAAATGAAGTCCTTTGTTAAGGTAGAAAACAATATTCAGAGAAGGGAAGAGTAATGCTATTCCCCCAAAACCTGCATGGAGTGAGAATCAAGAGAAAGCTATTTCGACAACATGAGTAAAATGTTTAATTTTCTTTAAAAATGGTCATTAATGCCAAACACACAGCCCCCCTGGCTTTTTTTTCCCTCAATTACAGCCTTTAGTGATTTTGCATTTCCAGGATATAAGCTTTCCTTCCTTCCTCCCTTTTATTTATTTAGTTTAGCTTCTTTTTTTTTTTTCCAGAGGGAGGGGAAGTTTTCTCTTAATTTCTCCACTATATATGAGATGACTTTATTAATTATTATAGACTGTTGTTGCAGCTTTCCTGACCTTCACATCAGGTCCTATCTCTCTGTTCTAAATGCATTGTTTTAATGATTCTTACCACCACCACCCATCCCAGCCCTTCCCCCCAAAAAAAAATTTCAAGGAAAGCTTTGATGTGGCTTTAGCTGCCTCCAACGTCTGGCCGCATCTCAGATGTGTCACCTATGCCGGGAGGGAATAAGGAAATCACGTTTTGAATGGTAATGATAACATACTAATCACTTCCTTTCTTTGAAGATGGAAGCGAGATATTCTGTCAGCATCCCTGGCTGCTAGAGCTTGGAGGCACTGGTCTAGGTGTATTAGCTTAAGTGTGCATGTCAATACAGCTTGCATCTCCAAGATCCATGGGGGCTCATTAGAGCAAGGTAGATCGTTTCACTCGACAGCCACTCAGATAATACGCATGGCACCTCCTTTTTTATTATTATGAGGAAGCTTTTCTTCTATTTTAAGTGACATCTGTCAACAACACAAAGTTGTAGGAGTTGTGCTTGCAATATTTCTCTTTTGACCAAATACCAAAACTGATTTGAGGGGTTAAGCTACTAATTGATACAAATACATGTATGTATATACACACACAAATAAGCACACACATTTATATATTTCTAAGTATCAGACATACACATATCTACACACACAAACACATTCACATATGCATTCACATATTCTTACCCATTCACAGTCATGATTACTTTACAAATCTGTTTGTCAACCTGAATAGATCTGGTGTAGAATCATGGTTTTAAAGAACCCAACCTCATTGTAGAAAAGAAAGTTTAGAAGCTGAGAATCTGGGGAAGATCCTCTAATTGCCCAGTTAAATATAATATAAAGGAGTGCATGTAATTATTATATTAGTTCATAGTCTAAAACACTGTGTCAAAAGCTTACCTTCAATCTAGTGTATAAAGTCATAATTTTGTGCATCTGTGTGCATGGAGGAATATGTACCTCTTGTTTCTTGGTGGCTGTCTTAACTAGAACTGCTGTTTAGTATTCTGTTTTAGTAGCATATGTTCTCCTCTATGGTATCTTGACACACATCCAAAATAGAGGGACATTCCCTTAAAAATAAAGTTCCTGTTTTAAAATTACTGTCTGCAGAAATCAAAGGAACAAATGAGTGATTTAAATGATTGTATTTTATACAAAATAAGTGTAAAATAAGGGTCATGGATCTATGTAAATATCTCATACATCTACCTCTGCTGAAAAAGGAGAGAACCAGTTAGCCCTGGTCTTATACATTTTTCAGTGTTTTGGAGTAAGATTTATTATAGCCACACACAGCACGAATCTGCCTTTTAAAACAAAAAACATGGATGGTCCATACACAATTGATTGATTGGAAATCTGTCCATTGTTGTGGTTCTTATAATGGAAGATTTGCTAAAAATTATCTCTAAGGGGTTTTGAGTGCCCCCCCCCCCCCCTTCAAAATGTTAGGGCATACAAAAGCATCTTTTTTTTTTTTTTAGGCAAAAAATAACATTGTAGACGGCCATCTGATTTTCCCCCTTTTTCTTTTTCAGAGGGCACATCTGCTCGATAACACAGAGAGGCTGGAAAGGTCATCTCGGAGACTAGAGGCTGGGTACCAAATAGCAGTGGAAACCGGTAAGAATTCTGAGAGTGAGCAAATTGTCTTGCTTATGCACAGCAGTCTTCACAACACATGACATTTCAGGGTAACTTCAAAGGAGCAGCGGAGACAGCAGCCCGAGATGTGGTTTACATATTGGGGAGACAATTGGGAGCTTATTTGTGCTTATCTTTTTTCAAGTTAAAAGGCATGACATCTACTGAAAACAGTTCCTGAGGTTTAAAAGTCTATATCTGAAAAGAGATGGAATACTTTGTCTAAATTCTACATTTGTCTTAATATGCAGTTACATGTTGTCAGTTTACCCACCCGCGATGATTGCTAGCACACGGTGCGGTCTCCAGTTGTTTGCTCCGTTACGTGTATTTCTCACATGTAAAAATTAACATTTTAATCAGTCTAAATGCTGTGACCTAGGGGCGAAGAAGTAACCATCCCTCCTTTACCTTGCTTATTTATCCTGGTGTCGGAAGTGATTTCTAATAATCCTGTATTGTGTTGTTGTTGTTTTAAATCTTGGACAGAGCCTATAATCAGATATCAAGAAAAAAAAGTCACAGCTAGCAGCAGTGCTAATGTACATGATAATGCTTTTGGTTTGGATTAACACTAGTTTTTCTTTTCAGAAAGCACAGCCCTAATTTAACTTCTCATCTACTTAAAATAGGCAAGCTTTTTTATTATAAATGTTTCATGCAATGACTATTTGTTTTTACAGAGTAAATCAATATTCATTAACCCCTTCGTGGTCATCAGCTTCTTCTTACTGAGCTTTCTTTTTTTGCAAAGTATAGTTAATGTACCATCTGTTTAACAAATTTTAGATAGTCCTTGCCCAGTATGTACATCACAAAAATATACGATTAACATTTCCATCATATTTTACAATTTACTTCTCAAAAAATGTTTATTTTGGTAGAGCAGGTACAATAAAAATGATTCCAAATAATTTCTTTTGTGAATGGCCAGTGTTTCTCATTGCCCTGGGTTCATGGCCATTCTGTATTGACTGGCTTATGGGAGTAATTCTAAGAAACTGGGTAGGAAGAACACAGATGGTGTTGGTGTTATAGTCATGGTGAGAAAACTAAAGAAAACCATAAACCTCCCCAGATTTTTTAGTAGTAGAAGCAGCCCTTCTTTGTGAGATAATTGATAGGTTGCCTTTCAGTCCTGACTGGAATAAAAGCCAGCTTTTGTTTGTTTTGTCCTTGGGCTCACCTTTAGAAGTTACTGTCCTTGTGAAGAATGTGAATAAAGCAAAGAGCCCTGAGCATGAAGTCAAAGGATCAGGCTCAGGTTCTAGCTCTTTTTGTGTGACCTTGAGCCAATCATATAACCTCTCTGAGTCTCAGTGACTTTTGCAATAAAATGGACATAATATTGCCTGTCTTAGCATATTCCTAAGACAGGATGGCATATATGAAAATGTTTTATACACTATAAAACACTATACAAATATAAAAATTATTATTAATGTGTTGGTCATTTGATAACATACAAGCATTTATCTTTCTCTGTCTCCTAGAAAAAAATTTTGTTGTGATGAAAAATTTGTATAGATTAAAGGAATTTTTAAAAAGTGTTACCTTGACATCCTTGGGGAATGTAACACCATGCCTATAGAGCATGCTCATCATCAAGGAACCTTCTTTGATGAAACAAACCCTTGGCGAGCCTCTTCCCACCTGGGACTCGGCTGGGTTGGGGATATTCTTACTGTGACACTGATCACAGGGCTTGATTTAAGGACTGGGCTGCCTTTTCTCTTTCACTACATCATCCATGTTGTTCCTCCTGAAGGAAGTCATCAAAGAAGTTCATAGATCCTGGAGAGCCATGTATTGATCAAGGTTATAAGATTGAGTGGGATTTGATAGTTATTCTTTCTGCGTGTGCTAAAATATAGCATCCACATCAAACCAGCGGTACAGTCAACATGGAAAATGTCAATTGAAGAGTGGCCCAAAAACCAACCTCAGTCTTCTTGGACTTTTTAATGGTGGATTAACTACCATTAACTACTAAATGGTAGATTAACTATAAAGCTTTATACGATTAGGTAGTTGTTTGTCACATTAGGCTTGGGAACCTCTTACAGGCTATAAAACCAGGTCTGTGAGGAAAAGCAAGGCTAAGCTTTGTAGAGGTAAAGACAGCTGTGCCACTCACAGCCTCCACCTAGGAGTCATCCCGATAATTCCTGGGATGAGTTTGAACATGGATTGAGACATGAGAAAGCGAGCACAAAGCTTTATTTATTTATTTATTTATTTTTTTTTTTGGCTCTTGCTTCTTACTAAAGTAATGTGTGTGTGTGTGTGTGTGTGTGTGTGTGTGTGTGTGTGTGGCGGGGGGAGTAAGTGTGATGGGATACCCTGTTGCTTGTACATTTTGTGCTTCCCTGCTAGCTCTCAGCCTAGTCATGTCTAGTCAGTCAACAGCTCTGCCTTTGGGTTATGATATAAATTTTTGATACTAATCATTTTGTTATAGTAGCAGTAGAACAGCATTTTTCAAAAGGAAAAACTTTTAGAACTTATTGGTTTCTTTTTCTTAAAGACAATGAAATGCAAGGAGGGGGAGATGTGGAAGTATGACTTTTTTTTTTTTTTAATATATACCAAGCTTTATAGTTGGCACGCCTTCTCTCATAGTTACCTCAGGCCGCCTAGCTCAGGTGTTCCATTTGGTCATTGATCTTACAACAGGGTGCTGTTCCACTGCCAGTCTGTATTATTTCTGTATGTTTTCTTCTGGAAAACAAATAATTCTTAGAACTATAGCATTTTCATGAGAACGAGATCATTTATGTATGCCACTGTTTTTCTTTCTATTTGCCTATCTCTACAGGAAAAACAATCGTTAGTGGTATCAACTTACATTTTAAAAATCAAACAAATGTGTTTCATGTTAGGAACTTTTTTAAAGAATCGGAACAAATACATTTACAATGTGAGGTGACTTCCTTTATATCTTTAATTGTCTAAAAGTCTTGGCTGAACTACTGACAGAGTTTTCCTGAGCCTTTCAAGGGGTTATATGGAGATTATGGAGTATAAGAGAACAATACTGCAGCTTATCACATTCTATCCTTTGGTTCTTGATACTGTCCTTCAAGTCACCTTATTACTATTATTATTTTAATCAACTCACTATAGAACTCATTTAGAAATTTTAATCCGTTTTGGAAGTATCTATTAAGACAAAGTTTTTTTTATCCGACTTAAAGCCAGTCATTTTCTTTATCATTTCAGAAGCTTCTCCCATGGCTGCTGACATTTTCTTATCCTTCTACCTCTTCCTCATTATTTTAATTCTCTTCCTTTCTTCTCCTTTCTTTTTCCCTTCATCCCTTCATTCTCCTCTCAAGAAATATGAATGTTCACTATGTAGAATGTAATAATCTGATTCCAAAGTACAACTCCTTGAATGTATTAATGTATCATCCACAGAAAAGATGAATGGGTAAAACAGTGCACAAGAATAGAAACTAATGCCTAAGTAAAACTATTGTTAGTACGTTTTTATTGATTCTAGGAAGACAGGAAGGGAGAGGAAGATAGACAGAAACATTGATGTGTGAGAGAAACATCAATCAGCTGCCTCCCGTATGTATGCACCCAGACTGGGGACTGAACCCACAACCTGTGCACATGCCCTGACTGGGAATCAAACTGGTGACCTTTCAGTGCCCGGGACAACACACAACTAACTGAGCCACACTGACCAGGGCTAAAACTGTTTTCACTTATTCCACAAGCTTTTATTGAACTTCACTGAGTGTCAGGCACCTCAGCAATGCAGAGCTGGAATGACGAGATATTCCAGTCCTACGGGTTCTGAGTACAGAATGTTGTGTCTATAGACACTTGAGATTTTTTAAAAATATGTTTTTATTGATTTCAGAGAGAAGAAGGGACAGGGAGAGAGAGATAGAAACATCAATGATGAGAGAGAATCATTGATCAGCTGCCTCCTGCACTCCCTACACTGGGAATTGAGCCAGAAACCCAGGCATGTGCCCTGACTGGGAATCAAACCGGCGACCTCCTGGTTCATAGGTCAATGCTCAACCACTGAGCCAAATCCACCGGGGATAAACACTTGAGATTTTTAACTTAAGTAATTTTGTATAGGCACAGATTGAAATTTCAATATATGACATGTCCATATTATTGCAGCAATAACAAATTAACATTTTGTTTTACAATCTTGGAACAGAAAATGGGATTATACAATTGGGTTGATTTTAACTATTTTTATCTAAGCACATCTATTTTAGAGAAAATATATTTTTACAGAAAATTAAACTTATTGACAGAAAAGTTTTCTTTAGAAAATGTTTCTTCATTCATTATTTTGAGTGGTGGACCCTGTGGTTATGCTTTCAGAATTAAAGATATTTCTGCTTGAATATGCATTTTTTAATGCTGAGAAGGATTACTTGACCATGTTCTGTGAGTTTTAAAAAGTCTACCCAGTGGTAAAATAATAACTTGTACTGTGTAATGATCACTTACTTTAGAATTAAAACCCTATTTCAAGTCTCACATCTCAAAAAGCTGGGATTCTGCTCTGGAAAGAACAGAGGAGGTTGTCCTCTGGGTGAAACTCTTAACGAATATTTTCAAGTTGCGCTTAAGTTTACTTTGTAAGGTTCTCTGAGATATTGGTGCACTTCCCAGTGGTAAGAAAAGGATGCCATTTAAGCCCTATTTGGAGGACCTTCTCCTTAGGAGGTCCACGTGAATGCATAGGGTTCATTTTTAATCCATTAAAAAGTATTATACTCATTTTTAAAGGTGTCTTAAGCCATACTGCCTATCACTTTTCCAGTTGGTCTGTGAGACACACGTGAAGCCATTCTTATTCCGTGGCATCTCTGTGAGTTGAGAAAAAGAAAGACGACCAAAGCAGATGGCTGGAATGCCAATTTACTTTCAAATGTTATAACAGAGGATGGTTAAGCTTATGACCTTGTTGCACTGTGCTTGTATAACTTTCCTTGGGA